CCATATGCCACTGTGCCACTGTTTGACCCTGCCTGTGTTTCTGACCTCTCTGCTCAATAAAGCTTTGCATATGGATCCGCATGTTCGTCAGCCCGCTCGCTTGAGACTTACATTCAAGAATATCTGGACATTGCTTATTACTCTGATTTCCCGGATTATGTGTTGATAGACTTTTTCTGTGAGGGCATTAATCAGCCACTAAAATCTAAACTCATTCTCGAGGGTCCGCGTTCATCACTGAGTTGTTTTTTGGACTTTGCGTTATTGACTGTAGGCTCTCGATTCACTGAGGGTATCGCGGAGGAACGCAACCCCACATTCACTTCTGTAATGGCCCCGCACTAGATTGCGTTCACAAAATGGCGGTGACCGAGGAGCCTGATCACAAAATGGCGGACACAACAGCGCCCCGTCAAGTCACATTTGATCTTCTTGAGTCGAGTCTAATCACAGTTGATCATCACGAGTCAAATCAAGTCACAGTTTATGATCATGAGTCAAGTCTAGTCACAGCTGATCGTCCTGAGTCGAGTCTAGTCACAGTTGATCGTCATGGGGCAAATCAAGTCACAGTTTATGATCATGAGTCTAGTTAAGTCACAGCTGATAGTTATGAGTCAAGTCAAGTCGCAGCTGATTGTCATGGGTCAAGTCACAGCTGATAGTTATGAGTCAAATCAAGCCACAGTTTATGATCATGAGTCAAGTCAAGTCACAGCTGTTCTTCGTGGGTCAAGTCACAGTTCATTATTATGAGTCTAGTCTAGTCACCGCTGATCTTCCTGGGTCAAGTCTAGTCACAGCTGATCTTCATGAGTCAAGTCTAGTCACAGCTGATCTTCATGAGTCAAGTCTAGTCACAGCTGATCTTCATGAGGCAAGTCAAGTCACCGTGGATCTTCATGAGGCCACTCAAGTCACAGCTGATCATCCAGAATCACATCGCATCCCAGCCGATCATCCAGAATCATGTCACGTCCTGTCTGTTACACCCAGAGTATCAAGGTCAGTTCTGCGGTATCCCAGACTGGCTTCCAGCGTGGAGGACCCACTGCTGGGGTCGGCACGTGCAGCTGGCATCCCTAAACCAGCGCTCTCAAGCCCTCCAGCCTCTGAACTATTTCCTCTGTCTGTAACGCTTCCCACCATGGGGATTGCTTTATGGTGCATCTGGGCCGCGTACTCCACCGCCGATTTGCTAGAGGCAGCGGCACCGGCTACAACTTCTCCAGAGGGGGCGGCATACGCTGCAGAACCCCCCCGAGGTAGCGGTGTCCACTGCTGTGCTCCCAGAGGCCATGGTGTCCACTGTAGTCTCTTCAGAGGTGGCGGCGCAGGCTGCAGAACCTCCCGAGATGGCGACACTGGCCTCAGTTCCTTGCGTGGTGGTGGCGCCCAGCAACGCACTTTCTGTCTGTCCTGCTCCGGCCAAGGAGGCCGTCTACGAACTCTCTGCCTGTCCTGTTCCGGCCAAGGAGGCCGTCTATGAACTCTCTGCCTGTCCTGTTCCGGCCAAGGAGGCCATCTATGAACTTCCTGCCTGTCCTGTTCCGGCCAAGGAGGCCGTCTATGAACTTTCTGCCTGTCCTGTTCCGGCCAAGGAGGCCGTCTATGAACTTTCTGCCTGTCCTGTTCCGGCCAAGGAGGCCGTCTATGAACTTTCTGCCTGTCCTGTTCCGGCCAAGGAGGCCGTCTATGAACTTCCTGCCTGTCCTGTTCCGGCCAAGGAGGCTGTCTATGAACTTTCTGCCTGTCCTGTTCCGGCCAAGGAGGCCGTCTATGAACTCTCTGTCTATCCTGTCACAGCTATAGAGGCCGTTCGCGAACTTTCTGCTCGTCCTGTCACAGTTATAGAGGCCATTTGCGAACTCCCTGCTCGTCCTGTTACCGCTATAAAGGCCGTTTGCGAACTCCCTGCTCGTCCTGTCACGGCTAGGGAGGCCGTTTGTGAATTCTCTGTGTGCTTTGTGTCTGCCAAGGAGGTCGGTTGTGAACTTTTGTCCTGTCCCGACCCAGCCAAGGAGGCTGCCTCTGAACACCCAGCCTTATCTGTCAACCCTGATGTTCTGTCTGTGTTGTCTGTCTCTGCTCTCTCGTTATTAGTCTCCGTCATGGTCTCCTGATCGATGTGGTTCACCAAGGGGGTTCTCTGTTCCTTCTGCTCCGCCGTGGTGGTCTGTCTGGCTCTGGTGGTCCTCTGCTCTGCCATGGTGGCCCTCCGCTCCGCCGTAGGGGTCCCCTGCTCCGCCGTGGTGGTCTACTGTCTGACTCTGGTGGTCTTCTGCTCCGCCGTGGTGGTCTACTGTCTGGCTCTGGTGGTCCTCTGCTCCGCTGTGGTGGTCTACTGTCTGGCTCTGGTGGTCTTCTGCTCCGCCGTGGTGGTCTACTGTCTGGCTCTGGAGGTCTTCTGCTCCGCCAGGGGGATCTTCGGTCCCGTCTGCTCTGCCGTGGTGGTCTACTGTCTGGCTCTGGTGGTTCTCTGCTCCGCCGTGGTGGTCTACTGTCTGGCTCTGGTGGTCTTCTGCTCCGCCAGGGGGATCTTCGGTTCCGTCTGTTCTGCTGTGGTGGTCTTCAGCTCCACCTGTGCTGTCAGCAGGAGGCGCTGTGAGAGCGGCGGAACTAACGGTTTCTCCAGTAACGGCTGTAAACATGAACGCTACTTTATCAGATAAAAATGCCATTGAAACTATTCTGAAGACAGTCGGTTCGCTTCAGAGATACACATATAAAACACCCGCAACGCGTTTTGATTGTGAAACGTGCAAACGGCACAAATAAATCAATGCATGGGAAACACTGGTAATGTATATCGAAATATCGGAAATGTGTTTAAAAATCATATCACCGTTATTGAAAAAAATTATATCGCGATACATATTGAATTATTGTCCAGCCCTAATTACAACTACACATAATATACAAATAAAACAACCAGTGCTTTATTCTCAAGTACAGCAGGTGTCAACAAATATAAACAGTTATTTTGTATCAACAAATATAAAATTAAACACTATATAGACTGATTCCTAAAGCAACTGTATTAACGTTCTTCAGTCAAGAGTAGTGAGTGATTTCCCTCTCTGTGGTTTGTTGTTTTATTAACATTAAAGGAATGGTATAAATATTTTTTATACCATCATTTACTCTCTCAATTTTGTTCTTGTGCCGAACACAAAAGAGGATATTTTGGTACAAACAGCTGCTGGTCCCCAGTGACTTCCACAGTATTTTTCCTAAATTCAGCTGTTTGGTTACCCCCATTCTCCAAAATATCCTCTTTTGTGTTCGGCACAAGAACGAAATTAACACAGGTTTGGGACAACATGGGAGTGAGTAAATAATGACAGAAATTATATTTTAGGGTGAACTATCGCTTTAATGACAGTCGGCAGCATGTTCAGTGCTGTCCCTTTAAGAGCTGCACTCATCTAATATACAGACACACATCCGTTTCTCTCTCAACTGCTTACTTTCATTTTAGACATAACCAACCAAGTCTGTATGTAAGTCTTGTGTGTTTTAACAGTATTAGCGCTAAAGATAACTTAGTCCAGTAATCAGGCGCTGTTTGACAGGCTTCACTGCTCAGAGAAAGCGCAGGTCAGAACACGCAGGTCAGAACAGCATGCGAATGAAAGGCTCTAAAGCAGATGATGTAGTTTTGAGGTTGTGAATAAGTGAGAGTAACTCTAGCGCAGACATCTGAAGTGAATGCATGTGATTCGGTGATATCTCTCTGAACCGTGCCGGCGATGAGAGGCTGGTGTGTGTCTCACCCGGGTCTGCGGGCAGGTACTGGAAGTCCAGCGGCTCGCTCAGCTCGCGGTCAGACGGCCTGCGCAGCTGCATCTTCACACGCACCGGCTCCGTCAGGTTAGCGTCGCGGTACGGAGGCGTGCGCAACACGATAGCCACCTGCCGGTGAACATCAGCCTGAGAGAACGAGCCCTTGCTCTCCCACGAGTCCTGGAAGAAACGCACCTCGATGTCCTCTAGAGCACAGACAGAGGCAAACACGTCACTTACAAACAGACACTTACTGAAAGACACACGCAGGGAATAATAACAGTTTACTTCATTTCAGGTGGATGCCAAGGCATCAATACTCTCTCTTTTAGTTTAACTATGCCACTTTTTGTTTTGTTTTGAAGAATAGATTAACAAAACTAAACTTAAACTTAATTCCAGATATAGACTATAAAATATTCTCGTTACATGATTTGGGTTCTCAAGTAAAGCAACCTCATATTAAATGTGTAGTTCAGATCTTTTACTGGAAAACTAAAATTAGAAATGAAAATAAAAAATGGTCCTTGAAATTAAAGGTTACGTGAGAAAAAAAAAGGATTTTATTTCAACTAGTTGACATGTCATATTTCTTATTTTTTTATAGTTTAATTTTAAGTTTAAATTGATTTTAAAAATATATAATTTTATATTAAAACTAACAACACAAAAACCCCAACAGAATTACCAAAAACTTTACAATTAAAATGAAAATGCAAAATATAAAAATGATTTTATTAAAACTTACTTTATTTCAGCTAGTTGCCAAGGCATCATTCTCATTTTTATAATAATGTAATAAGTTTTCTACTAAAATTGATTAGGAAACTAATAAAAATGACCAAAACAAAACAGACTTTCTTTAAATTTCAACACAAAATATAAAAATTAAAGATATTAACTCTTTCCCCGTCAGCGCTTTTGATCATTTCCACTAAAATGGCATGGCCCTGAGAATATTTTGTTGTATGAATATCTGATCATGCAATATATCAAAATAAAGACCAGACCCTCTACTTTCACACAAAAATAAAAAAATTTAAGCATTGCTTTTTTAATCAACACTTAAATGTAGGAAGGTTTAATAAAAAAAACTAAATTTTGAGCAAAACGCTGAGAAAATCTCATTTTAATCAAACACTGCATCTGCATCATATTCAGTAATATTATCAAAGCAAAGCTGCAGTAGATGGCTTCCATCAGCGCTCCCAAAGCTTGCACACTTTCTGGATCCACATTTCACTCGGGAACATTAGGCAGTTTTCATTTATACACGGTTTAGTGTTGATGATCGCATTATTTTTCATACGCTTACATATGAGATCGCTGGTTTCTGTGTCTTCCTGGCCTGTGTTTTTGATCGGCACTTTATACACTCATTCAGGAGATGCGTGATAGCGCCCCCTAGCGTTTAACAGTGAGAACACAGAACATTGCGTGTTTGGCGAGGAAAGAGTTAATAAGCCTATAATAGTGTGTCAGTGATGCTAAATGCCACTGGCTTGTGGTGTGTGTGTATCTGCGCACCCTTCTGCACTTTGTCGCACAGCAGGAAGATCTCGTCTCCTCCGCGGCAGCTGCCGGAGCTCCTGTTGACGCGGCAGATCTTGAGCTCGGCTGTGTTAGGAGCTCCTGAGGAGAGAGAGGTCAGAGCGGTCAGGCTCGGTGTGTTAGCGGTCAGACGCGTGCGCGGCGGCGAGACACTCACGGTTATCATAGATGGGCTGAGACACGACGGGCTCCAGAGAGAACAGCTCTCCACTGGGCAGCGTGATGGACACCTGGAAGCACAGGCGCACCGCGTTCAGATCGTACTCCTCCTCCCAGATCCTGGGCTCCGGGACTGCACGCGCACACACACACACACACACATCAGCATCTGTCTCCAGCATACAGCTGTTTACCTGTTGTGCTGCACAATATTTCTGTGATCCAGTACTATTTAAAAGTTTGGGGTCAGTAAGAAATGACCACTTTTACTGATCAAGGATGCATTAAGTTGATCAAAAGTGACATTTCTAATCTCTAATAGCTGCTGTTCCTCTGCGCATCCTGAAGATGAAAATGAGTCAGGGTTTCCGTGGTTAGGTGTGTTTCTCGGTCACTCACTATTGAAGGGGTTGTTCTGTGTCTGCAGGCGACAGGAAACTGCATCTCCCACATCCTTCTTCTTCACGCACTGAATACCCAGGTTCTGGAAACTGAGAGAGAGAAATGAGGCGGCACACACACACACACACACACACACACACACACACACACTCCAGCTGTTCTTCATCAGCTTACATAACACTGATCAGGGTTTGTGTGTTTCAGTTTTTCTCCCACTGTAACCGAGATTCATTTTCATGCCGCAATGACAAAACATGATTATACAGATGCTTAATTATATATGTGAGCCTGCAGCACAAAAGCAGTCTTAAGTCGCTGGGATATATTTATATGTGATGCGCAGCTGTATTTTCAGCATCATTCCTCCAGTCTTCAGTGTCACATGATCTTCAGAAATCAGTATAATATGCTGATCTGCTGCTCGAGAAACATTTCTGATTATCATCAATGTTGAAAACAGTTGTGCTGCACAATATGTTTGTGGAAACCGTGATTCACTACCATCTAATAGTTTGTGGTCAGTAAGAAATTACTACTTTTATTCATCAAGGACACATTAAATGGATCAAAAGTGACAGTAAAGACATTGATAATGTTACAGTAGATTTCTATTTCAAATAAATGCTGTTCTTTTGAACTTTATTCATCCGTGAATCCTGAGAAATAAAGTGAATCAGTGTTTCCACACAGGGGTGGTGTGTGCTTCTCACTATTGAAGGGGTTGTTCTGTGTCTGCAGGCGACAGGAAACTGCATCTCCCACATCCTTCTTCTTCACGCACTGAATGCCCAGATTCTGGAAACTGAGAGAGAGAAATGAGTCGCAGGGGCAGCGCTGAGCTCTGGAAACGGACGAGGTGCCAGCGCTACAATAACACGCACACATACGAGTTTGAATGAAATAAAACCAGTGGTGGACAGGAACCGTTACTGTACTTTGGGAAACTTTACTTCACTGCATTCCAAACAATGCATAAAATCATAATTTCTACTCCACTGCATTTCATAAAAATAACGTCTTGTTCTTCATTATTTTGAACCGAAGAAATCACCACCTGCTCGAAGACACAAGAGCGACTGAATGAGCCGATTCTTTACAATCAACCAGTTGAATCGCTTCACAAGTCACTCCGAGCGATTCATTTGTGATTCGGAAGAGTCAACAGCTCACTGATTCAATGATCTGCTCAAAATGAGCTACCAACTGGGATATCAGCTTGAAAGGCACATAAAACACAGCTACTACTGCTGGATGTTAGGATCTATTATTGTACATGAAATAATTGCACACCCTAGAGCGCTCATCAGCCAATCAGATTCAAGCATTCAACGGCCCGTAGTATAAATATATTTTTCTCTATTTCAGCTTTATTTGTATAAAATAATTTTTTTAATTAGTTTTAGTTTTAGACTGACTAGAACAAATAATAAACAGGGTTCCTCAATCAGTACTTTTTTACTTTTAATACCGGAAAACAAGTATTTCTACTTTTACTGGAATCATGTTTTATTAGCGAATCTGTACTTTTACTCAAATAGAAATCAAGTGTTTCTACTTTTACTGGAATCATGTTTTATT